ACATTATGGTTTCGATTTGTTGAAATTCGAGAGAAATTTCTAAGAAGAAGGGTAAGTCACAAGTGAAGTTTGGTGAGTTATTTTCATACTAATGTATGCATGCCTATAAGACAGGCTAATTATAGATAAATTAAGTGTGAAAATGGAGAAGAAATTTCCAGAGATAAACATATGGAGACATCCAATAAAATTAGAGAAAAGAGTTCAAAGATCCAACCACTACCATAAACAACCACCATGTTGGAACATTGGCGTAGCCAGATATATAATTTAGTGGGGTCCAAACATAAAAAATACGAGACTGAATGTAGGAAGAGTATTTTTTGTCATCGCAATTATTTATCTACTTCTTATAAAAAGGTATTAACATCTAGATTTGAACCATGGTCTCTTAAAAAAAACAATCACAACCAATTACACTAAACAAATTTGTTTTATCTTCTTGAATTGTAAGCATACACTTAGCGAAGATTTGAAAAGCATAGGAACTTTCCCTCACATTTAGCTAGCCTATTAAATATTCTAAAAAGCAAAGTTTAATACGTGATTTATAATTTTTTTATAACCTATATAATGACGAGTAATCTTAAAATTGCAACACAAATTCAATGCTTGAATTGCATATCGAATTGCAGTATTGAATATGCAACAAATATGTAGAATTCCTACTACGAAGCAATAATATTTTGTACAAACTATATGTGACTGGTTCTCTAAAATTTTAGCATGGTTAATTGCTAAACATTAAACCTTTGGCTAATCTAGCATTAATGGATCCGACAATAATGAGAAAATATTAGGTTTAATGTGATGTTCATTTTGCCATTTTTGGGTGTGTTGATCAATTAAAGGGCATTAACATATAAATGAGTTATAATTAACCTCATTATATAATTTTAACTCTTTATAATGATTAATTTAATCTTAATATTTGTGATGTTTGAAATATTTTATGTATGATTTAGAGATATACTTATTATTTGTGGCATCGGTGGTTGTTGGTTCAAATGTAGTATTTTAGCATTTATGATTGTTTTTATCTTGGTGTTGTGAATATGTAAAAACTTAATTATTAGAATGCATGTAACTATATACAGACACATGATCGAGCTAGCATGACACAGTTAGAGCATACCATGAAGACAATGTATATGGATCGACCCTATACAAGTATGAATGCTTCATGGGTCATACCTGACTTAAACTTCAAGCGCTCGCGCACAAGTGCGAGCATCACATAGTCTATATTGGTGCACTCATGTTTTATGGAGAAATGCGCCATTTGAGAGGAATAAGCGGCCATTTGGTCGCCAGGTTTCAGGTCCTCTGATTCACACTTTCGATTGTGAATGGAGAAGAAGCATTTCGAATGCAAAATTGGATAACTAATTGGGATGTTTCTAGGTTTCTCTCAATTCCAGGCGGTGGGAAGAAATAGGAAGGAAAGGGGGAGAGTGGTGAGATACAAAGCTCAAGGAGAGAGAGAGAGAGAGAGAGAGAGAGAGAGAGATGGAAAAACAAAGAGGATTATCGACGATCCGCCGGGCTAGTGTAGCCATCACTGTCTCATCCATCCTAATCTACACCACTGTTGATATGACCTCGAGGATCTAAACCTTTGAGAATGATTAACTTAGCGGTGGAAGGGTAATACCTACTGGCATCTCAAAGCAAACCCGTCCTTCGCCGCTGGAGCTTCGCCGACTAGAGAAGGAGTTCGTCGGATTGATCTTCTCTCCATCTGCTAGAGGAAGAAGAGGCGAACTGTAGCAACTTCGTTCGATGGGGAGGTCGAGTTTGGGGGAGGCTGGGAGAAGAACGATGGGAGCTGGGGTTAGCAAAACGACGTCGTTGGTCTAAGTGAACAAAAGGAGAAAAAATGTGGCAAAGGAATTCGAACGTTGGGCTCATTAAAAGGAATGGGGGCATAACCCAATGGGCAACGGGAGGAAATTCGTCTCTCATTTTCCAGCATAGGATGTTTTATTGTTTCTGCCCAACTGCCTCTTTTATTCCCCTTTATTTTTTCTAACGATAATGAAATTGCAAGTGAACACATTTCTTACAATTTGTTTTTTTTTTATTTTTGTTGTCACAGCAGAAAACAGAAAACAAAATGGCAAGTGAACGAGGCATAAGAGAGAGTGAGAGAACATACTTAAACGAGGGGGGGGGGGGAATGAGGTAGTGTGAAATAATTGCCCTTCTGCTTTGCTTAGTGGGTATTCTTTTCCCTGTTGAGTTTTGATTTATTTTAGGAGATGACATTATATTTGATAGAATTTTTTCATTTCGATTAAGGGGTCGTTTGAAAGTTGCGATTGTTTTGTTGAGATTTACTATACATGTATTGTTTAGAATTCATCATTTTTTATATTTTTAGTAGAACCAATACATGGATTACATCTGTGATGTGACCGAAACTATCAATCAAAATGAGTATTGTTAAATCTCAAATATTAGTTGTTATTGTTGAGATAGTCGAGTTGGGATTGTTTTGTCTAAACTTTTAGCTTATGTGCCATACACAATGCATCTAATCCGACAATACATATATAATATTATACATGCATTCACAACACAATATCTATTTAACAATCGCAACTTCCAAATGACCCCATAAAATCCTAAATCAGTATTATCATTTGGATGATTTTTTCCTTAATAAGATTATGATAATTTATGAGATTTAAGAGTATTTGATCATGTCAATATTTTAGTGGTTTTTTATTTAAAGTTTGAATTGAAAGATCGTACATATTGGCGGTTCGACCATAAAACTTCACACCATAAGCTAAATCGATAGGTGATATTTAGCAATATGAAACGGTTGAACCACAGTTAAATTATGATTTCAGTATAAAATACTCTACTGTCAAAACTTTTTATACTATTGTAATCATTTGGTTCAAACAATTCTTTTACACTGGTGGAAACATAAGTTTTAAGGCACATTTTGAACTATCTATTGCAAAAAACATAAGTCAGTTAGCGATAATGAGAATATGCGATCTCATTCAACCCAAAAGACACTTTGCAACTTCTATATATTTAAAATAGATGTATGTTACTTATACCCTTGCTCATTCATCAACTTAATGAGTACTATATATTTCATGTAATATGATTTTCATAGGTTTTTATTTATTGAATTATTTCATGAAAAAAATATTTGCTGCATGAAAATTACTACATTGTTGTTAAACATGTCTGCGATCTGAGAATAATTTTGGAAATCCATACACAACACATTCTTAAACCAACTATTAGTGACAATTTAGCATCATGTCCTATATATTTCAAATCAAGCAACTTCAGATTCATTACCAATGGTGTGGTAAAAAAGAATGCACTCTATTGGGAAAAACTTAAAGGACATACTAAACTCTATGAGAGACATTTTCTTTCATCTTAAAGGTTGATTATGTATGTATTATGAGAAATAACTCAAATATTAAATTATATGATTTAATTAAGTAATGGATGACAATTAGTTATATTTTTATTTCTTTTTTATTCAATAATTATAAGTAATGCTTATATTATATTTTTCTTTTTTCATGGAGGTCTAGACATATTATGCATAGCTGGATCACTTTCAAAAATATTATGTGGATAACTAAGTTAGAAAACAATCATTTTGTCAATTTCAAATTCTCTATTATATATCCATTATTATATATCATATTTCTCGACAAAATTCTTCCTGCCAACGGGCCGGGTCCTGTGCTAGTATGTGATCAGTACGCGAATGATTGTCTAATATGATAGAGACAATTTTTTTTTTTTTTTAGATAAGGGTGATATAGGTTTCATTTATTGTCATTAAGGTACTACTTAAGGGATTTGAACCTAGGACCTCCAGGTTCTAGACTAGTAGTATTACCACTAGGCCAAACCCTTGTTCGTATGATAGAGACAATTTTTTTGAGCACTGTAGACTCCAAGTGTATTCTACAATTATTTCCGAATATGAAAACACATCGTGGATTTTTTAAGTTGTATGAGTAATGTATTTTCTTATTTAATAATTATTTATTATTTATTTAATTTATTTTTATTTAATTTATTTTTAAAAAAATGACACCCCTATGCAAAATTTCTGGGTTCGCCACTGGGTGCAGTCGATATAAATCTAGTGCACTTTCCATTCTTCACTAGTTTTTAGTCTCCTGGATTAAGGATCAATGAGGCATTGCCTCAAATATTAACAAATTTGTGCGGCTGTTAATTAACTGCTTTACTTTGTGCTCGGTTGCCGGTTCCTCTTGACTACATGCCATGACGATTTGGGAAGGTAAAGAAACAACCATTTTTCTGTCTACAGAGCCTTTTGTAGCTGCTAGCTAAGGAAACTGAGTGGTGTTAACTTCTTCTATTCTTCAGGGTGTGGAAGGGTGCTGGCGTATGCACTTATGTACTTGAAGGGCACAGAGATACAATTAAATCAGTAAGTATTATAAACCCACTAGGTACACTGAAGCACCTGCTTTTTTTACTTCTGAAAACTGTTGGATGAGGTCCATTTGTTGTCTAGGAGGGTTTCCGTAACAAATCAATTATCTTCTTGCACGAATCAGGTTTCCAAAATTTTGAGCACCTGCATTTGATACTCTTATACTTCCATTTGTTACCATTTTAGTTGCAAGGATGTGGAAAATAAGACTTCAGCTATGGTTTATATGGACTTTCTTGTGGAGTGTTATTCTTCTAAGTGCATAGCAATTAGTTATAGTCATAACTGAAAAGCAATAGGTATTAGAGGGTTGTACTCTTGTCTTCCCAATGGGAATGAGCAGCATAGTGATCAGCTTTTGTTTCCTTTGCTTCGTAGCAACTATGATTTTGATAGAAACCTAATTTTTAGGTTTCTATCATAATACTTATTATTACTATAATTAGGATATTATTAGATATGGTTGGTAGTCATTGAGTCGTATTAGGATAGTCTATTAGATTTTCTGATATTTAGCTATAAATATGTACTTTGGGTTCTTTGTTCAATTAAGCAGAAGTTAATGAAAGAATTATTCTCCCAAACCCTAAGCACTTTCTATCTCCTAATTTCTTTTCTTCCCTAATCTAAGGCTTCGGCCGATTCTTATTCTTTTCTTCTTCTTCCCTAAATCCTCAATCTCAATCCCCAATTCCCTCACCAAATTCCTAAATTCCCAATCAACCAACACTATCGATAGAACCTTAGAAATAGGTTTCTATCATCTAGTATCAGAGCCCCGTTCCGAAGATGAGTTTGTCACAACTCTCAACGGGGACGAGTTCTATAGCGATGGCAATACACTCTTTTGAGACCTTTCCTGCTGCGATGGCGACAGTTGAGGCCACCCTCACTCAAGCAATCTCTCAGCAGTTCGCAGAACTTCGTGCAATGATTGCAGACCTCCCCCAAACCGCGATTGCCAATGAGCAGCCGCAAAACTCAGTTTCTGAGACGGCCGAACCAGTGCTGCCGGAGGAGATTATAGCCACACCGTTATTCCCTTCCACTGCAGCTTCACCACCACTGCGGCTTGTTGTGGTGGAACAACCATCCAAGGAGTCTAATCCACCGGCTGCGAACGAAAAAGAAGAACCAGGAGAAGATTGGGTCGCGACGGAGACGACCAGATCTCCGTCTTTGCAGTCGACGAGAAGAAGATGGCTGAGATTCAGCCACAGCCGACACCAATAGTCGCACCGACTGCTGCAGTGGTCGATGAATCGACCTCAGCAACCCTCACCAATAACTTCGTTGTTCCATGGGTTCTCAAAAGGAAGGAGACCCAAACCCCCTTTATTTTAGTTAAGGGCTTTTGTTTGAGTAGCTGGAAGTTCCGGAAGAAGAAGCGACTCGCCGCCATGGTGACAAACTCGCGGGCGGAGACCGACGTAGCAAGCGACACGGAGGGGGAAGAGTTATTGCTGGGTGTCAAGGAAGCAGCGGAACTGTTGGTGAAGGGAGGCGGTGGCATCCATCTCTAGAGAAAGAAGATGGCGGAGGTGGAGGCAAAGAGGGTTGGGGGCATCCATCTCTCGAACCCTAGGACGGCCACTCTAGGCCGCGCGTCGAGCCGCGTCTGGTCGCACCAGGCGAGTGGGCTGAAGAGATGGGAAGAGGGCTGGTCTGTCAGCCGCATGTTGAGACGTCTGTCGCCGGAAAGAGAAGAAGCAACGGGTCGGGTTGCATCGCCAGAGCTGGAGAAGAACGAATCATGGGCAATGGTGGGCGGCGGGACAATGAAGAAGACAACGACGTCGACGTCGCAGGTCCGAGCAGCAGTGACGGAGAGAAGGGAAGAGGAAGCGGTCACTACGCCGCGGGTGGAAGGTCTCCTATCGGTGGCGCCGGTGATGGAAGACGCGACGATGGAAGAGAAGAAGCAGAAGGGCAGCGGGGATGTCTCTGCTACTGCATACCCTAGGTCGCACAACCTAGCGGTCGAAGTCGATGGGCCGAGCTACGGATTGGGTTGTCGGAACTGTTGGACCGAGAAGTTTGGGACGAGTTGTGTGGACCAAACTATTGGGCCAGAGTTGGGAAAGATGGACCGCAGTTGTGAACTAGCAAGGAAGGAGATTGCGTGGTTTGCTCAGTCAGAACGGGCCGAGGAAAAAGTAGCCTACGGGCCGTAGCATATAAGAGATTGGGCTGAGGCAGAAGCAGATCTCCAACCTAATAATAGAGCAAAGTGGTTTAATCAAAGATTAGATTCTGGGCCGAATAGAGCATGGGCCCGCTGGTCACAAGAAACAAGTGGGCCAAGTTTTCAAGAAGGATTTGGGCTTCGCATGGGCTGTTTGATTAATGCTCTTTTGTATGGTGTGGGCCTGAATGAGAAGACATATGCATTTGTGGGCTTAGAAGGTGGATTCTCAAGGAAACATGGGCCATTAGAAAATGAAGAAGCCACTAAGCAATGTAATGGGCTAGCTCCAAGGAAGGTAAATTCGAGTCTAGAGTTTTGAACTCATAACAGGCATGGATCGGTGACACGCCTTTACCGTCACACTAGAAAGTGGCCAAGTGTAACCACCTACTAATGCGTAGTATAGCGAGTTTAGGTTTAAATGTCAACCCAAGTCCTAGGTGTGATGACTACTCCCTTGGGATGTCTCATAGATCATGCCTCTTGGCGACCCCTTTGTAAGAGGATCTACCAAATTGTTGCACGACCTTACATACACAATAGAAATGATTTTGTTAGTAATCAAATACCTAACGTAATCATGTCTTAGGCTAATGTGTCTAGACTTACCGTTGTAAATCTTGTTATAAGCTCTAGACAATGTAGCCTCACTATCACAGAAGACAGAAATGGCTAGCATCGGTTGTGGCCACAACTCTATATCTAACAACATGTTTCATAGCCATTCTGCTTCTTTTCCAGCCGCCGCAAGGGCTAGGAATTCGGCTTCCATAGTGGAGTGTGTAATACATGTTTGTTTATCACTAACGCTCGTGATCCAACTAGCATCAGAAAATGCTTCTAGTCAAGCGGGGAAGTTTCTATAGAAGAGTCTTAAATCTTTGGTTCTTTCCAAATAACCAAAGACTCTTCCTATAGCTCTCCAATGATCAGCACTAGGATTACTAGTGAATCTAGAAAGTTTGCCCACCGCAAATACAATATCGGGCCTAGTACATCCCATTGCATACATCAAACTTCCAATAGCACTAGAATACATCAACATAAAGGCATATAATGACCATATACTCTTTTGTGCACTTTGAATAAATGCACTTATCAGCAGAGTTATGAGAAAATCCATGAGCCAAAACAACAGAATCAAATTTCTCATGCCATTGTTTAGGTGCTTGCTTAAGTCCATACAATGACTTTTGCAATTTACACACCTTTCCTTCATTTCCAGGCAACATGAACCCTTCTGGTTGCTCCATATACACTTCTTCATCTAACTCACCATTTAAGAATGTCATCTTTACATCCATTTGGTGTACATGCAAATTGTAAATAGAAGCCAAAGCTAAAAGCACTCTTATGGAAGTGATTCTTGCAACTGGTGCATAGGTGTCGAAGCAATCTACTCCTTCCTTTTGCCTAAACCCTTTTGCAACCAATCTAGCTTTGAAGGTATGTATTGATCCATCCGTGTTATACTTAATGCGAAATACCCATTTGCATCCAATAGCCTTAGATCCAGGAGGCAGATCCACAAGAACCCAAGTCTTATTTATTAATAACGAATCCATCTCGTCATTAACAGCCTCATTCCAAACGGCAGAATCTCTAGAAGCCATTGCTTCTTGATAGGTTTTGGGATCGTCTTGCACATGGAACAAAATGGGTATCTTTCTTGTAACCTTATTTAACCTATCTCCCTCTACAAGAAAGACTATATCTTGAGGATCAATAAATTCTGGACCAAAACTCTTTTCCTTTCGAGCCCTTTGACTTCTTTGTGGTTCATTAGCAGTAGGGTCATCTAAAGGCCTTTTGCTACTAGAACCAATGTCAAAAGCGGGAGCAGAGATAGACTCATTTGAGGAATCTACAGAAGTAACGCGACATGGTTCTACATTTGCAGAGTCACATCGGAAATTGTTCTCAAAGAACTCAACATCTCTCGATTCCACGACCACATTAGATTCTAAATCTAGAACCATATAGGCTTTTGAGTTTTCTGCATATCCAAGAAAAACACCTTTCAAAGCTCGTGGTCCTAACTTAGTTCTCTTAGGATCTGGGACTCTGTAGAAAGCAAGACAGCCCCAAACTCTAAGATAAATCAAGTTCGGTTTCCTTCCCTTCCACAACTCATAAGGAGATTCCCTTAGCTTCTTAGACGGAATCCTATTGTGTACATGGCAGGCTGTTAGCAAAGCCTCACCCCACAAATTGTTTAGAGCACTAGCATTCATCAACATAGCATTAATCATGTCAGAAAGAACTCCATTTTTCCTTTCTGCTACTCCATTCTGTTGTGGGGTGTAAGGAGCAGTCCTTTGATGTATTATACCATGTTGCTCACAAAACTCGTTAAAGTTATTTGGAAAATACTCTCCACCTCTGTCACTTCGAAGGATCTTTTTTCCTACCCTTTTGAGTTTCAACAACAGATTTATACAACTTAAACTTATCAAAGGCTTCATCCTTGGTTCGCATTAAATAGACATAGGTAAATCGAGTACTATCATCAATGAAAGTAATGAAGTACCTACATCCTCCTCTAGTTAATTGACCATGAAATTCACAAATATCAGAATGTACTAATTCTAACAATTCTGATTTTCTGTCAACCAACTTAGGAAATGGCTTTCTCTTCATCTTAGCTTGCACACAGATTTCACATTTATCTCCACTATCATCACCACAAATTACTAAACCATTTCTAGACATATATTTCTGAGTTTTAAAGTTAACATGCCCCAATCGATTATGCCATAAATCAAATGAAGTACTTTCTATACTATAATTTGCATGCACATCGATATAAGCAGAACCATCAACTTTATTATTAATATTACCATTGTCAATACTTAGCTTAAACATACCATCACTAACATAGCCCTTCCCAACAAACATACCAGTCTTGGTCAGAATCACCCTATCAGATTCTATCACAACCTTTATCCCCTTCTTACAAAGCATGAAACCAGAAACCAAGCTCTTTCTAACATCAGGAATGTGACGGACATTGGTGAGAACAACTTTCTTTCCCGAAGTGAAGAAAAGCTCCACAGGTCCAGATCCAAGAACCTTGATCGTGCGATGATCACCTAACAAAACCTCATGTCCCTCCGTTGACTCTGTGTAGTCCTTGAACATGGCTCTCTTGTTGCAAATGTGAGCAGTTGCCCCCGAATCATACAACCAATCAGCACTGGTCATGACTCCAGCCATGTGCAATTCCTGAATCATACTCACATGTAAGTCAGAAATCATTGCAACAATCTCACTAGGCTTAACTTTCTCAATCACGTTTGCACTTGCAGCCCCTTCGTTCTGGTTCTTCTTTGGATTAGGATAGAAGCGAACAATATGTCCCAATTGCCCACAATTGAAACAATTCTTAGTGGACATAGGGGACGGCTTTTTCTTTTTATTCTTCTGGTTGTTGGAATTATTCATGGCCTTTTCCTTCTTGCTCTCCACAACATTCACTTTGGAACTTGATGGTGCCTCCGAATTCAGATCCTTGTCACAGATATGAGTTTCCTCCTCGATCCTAAGGTGCTTCTGAATCTGCTCCAAAGTGAACTCCTCTGACGTATGAAGTAATTTCTTCCTATAGTTGTTCCATGATGGAGGCAACTTCGCAATAATTGCCCCCACGAGAAACGCATCAGGAAGAGTTATCTTCAACTCAGTGAACTTAGAGGCCAAGATTAGGAATTCATGAACTTGATCCAGAATTGAACGCTTATCAGTCATGCTAAATTCAAAGAACTGGAATGTGACAAACTTATATGCGCCTTGTTTCTTTGATTTGTACTGGTTCTCCAAAGATGTCCAAATCTCAGTAGGGGTCGCCAACTGGGAATACAGATCGTAGAGACGATCAGAGAGTGAATTCAGGATATATCCTCGGCACAGCAGGCTGTCATCACTCCTCTTCTTGCACTCAACCTTCAATTCATCAGATTCAGTGTCTTGTGGTTCTTCTAGCGGCACCAAATCAGGATCCAGTATGTACACGATCTTCAAAGCAGTCAAAAGAAACTTCATCTTCTCTTGCCAGCGGGTGAAATTGGTTCCATCAAACCGATTGAGTTTGTTGGAATCAGAGGCATACGCCTTCAAAGTGCTCTCCACTCCATAATCCATTGTCACACGCAAATAAACACTCTAAGATTGTCAGGGAAACAGTATGGAGAAAAACGGATTGAAGGCGTGATTTTGATCACTCTCCTTAGAGTAATTATTTGCCCCCACTACTTAGTTGCTGGTAGGATTTAGGCAAACCACCCCCAGGAGTCCCTCCAATCAAAGTCAGAAAGCAGCACCTTTCGTGACTTCTGTGTTTGTGTTTTTGGAGAAGGAAAAAACGAGGAGAAGAAGATGAACGTTGGACGATAACATCGGCTGCAGAAGACTTTTTATAGTGAAAACGGCAGTTCCCTTCTGAAGGGTTACGTCGTTTCACAAAAGTCAAAATCAAATAATTATCCAGATTAAAAATTCAAATAATTCCGATAACTAAGTGCGTAGTGCGATTTAATATGTCAAATTAAATAGCACACACTTTTTCCAAAAGCCCACTAACCACTTTATCCAATAACTAAAGTGGAAAGCAAACTTAAAAACAACTTGCATTTTCCTTCTCCCACCAATGTGGTATTTCCTTTACTCTTTGACTACTCTAACACTTACCATTCACGGCAGCTCTGTTGTACATGAGGATTGAAGACGTCTAATGGATTGAGAATATCTTTTGAGTTCACATTTTGGCAAATTTCGTTCATTTTTGTTCCACCAGCTTGCTTTGAATATCCCTAGTTAACACTTGTGTGTTTTTTACTTGATTTGTTGCAGGCAGTTCTGCAGCGGCAAGTTCAGGTAGGGTTTCTTATTGTTTACTTTTCCAATGTCAGCTGTTTGACAAATTGTTGTTCTGCTTGACGAGTTACTTGGATGATATGGATTTGGAATGACAGGAAAGCTGGATTGCTTGTTGGTGATAAAAACCCGAGTTAGTGGACCGGGTTGAGGGGCCGCACAGGTCGGGCAGTGGGGCTCGTTTGTTATTTGTAGAACACCTACTTAAGGGTTCAGGGGAACACTATTACGATTAAGCAATTATTATCAATAAACTCTACAATCCCTAATCTCAATTCTCTCCTGTTCTTCCCCAACTCTTTCCAATTTCTAATTTCTTTTTCAATTCCCAAATCCCTTCACGCGAGATTCTAGTATCTATCATCTGGTATCAGAGTCTGGTTGAGCTCGTCACAGCTCCACTCCATGGACTGACCGCAACTGCAAGAGCTGCTTTGGCAGAACCTTGAGGAGCTCTGAGCCGCGAGGTTGGATACGACGGGGCGAGAGAGCTCGTCACAGCAGCCGCCGCAGGTGACTGAGGCAGTGAGAGACGGCGGTCCTCCTTCTCCACAACCGCCGGCCGAGGCTAACCGCGAGAGACTGTGGCCACCATCTCGCTCCACTCCGTGGTCGGGTAGTCCTCGCCCTGGACTTTGCGCTTCCGGGCACAGCTCGAGGGACGGACAGCGATGACCCTTGCGGACAGTGGGGCATCATTGAACTTCATCTGTACGGATTTTGCGAAGACATTGCAGCAGGAGGCGACGCCGGTTACTCCGATCAGGGTCCAGGTCACCAATGGCGTACCCATGAGATGCGCGCAGGTGTACCGCGGAATCACCCTTTTTATTCAAGGCTTGGAAATTATTACTGATTTATATGAGCTACCGATTCGTGGGTTTGACATGATTTTGGGTATACCGTGGCTGCGAAGTTTGGGTCCTATTACTAGTGATTGGAGCAAATTGACCATGTGTTTTAAATGGCGAAATAAGGAGTAGAACTTGCAGGGGTTGACGACAGCGATGGGATCGATTTCAATCCGGGACTGCGCGCCCGGGGGTGAGGCCGAGTTGGCCGTCCTTTGTTGGGCGATGGCCGTGCAAGAACCGACGGCGATCGCTGCCGAGATGCAGAAGGTGTTGGACCAGTATCCCGAGATCTTCCAGACACCAACCACCCTCCCTCCGCATCGTCAGGTGGATCATCGAATTTAGTTGAAGGAAGGGGTAGAAGCAGTCAATGTTCTGCCCTATCGATACGGGCACTCGCAGAAGACAAAGATCGAGAAATAGGTGTCGGAGATGTTGGAGACAGGGTTGATCAGACCGAGCAGCAGCCCTTTTTCTTCGCCAGTGCTATTGGTTAAGAAAAAGGATGGGACTTGGCATTTCTGTACTGATTATCATGCTCTTAATGAAGCGATCGTGAAGGAAAGGTTTCTGATTCTGATAGTTGACGACATGTTGGATGAGCTTCATGGGTCTGCTTACTTCACTAAGCTGGATTTGAGGGCAGGGTATAATCAGATTCGGATGCAGGAGGAGGACGCGCATAAGACGGCGTTCAGGACTGACAATGGGCATTACGAGTACCTGGTTATGCCTTTCGGGTTATGTAATGCCCCGTCCACCTTCCAGGCAGCTATAAACGACATATTTCGGCCTCTACTGCGGCGGTACGTTCTGATTTTCGTTGATGACATCCTCGTGTATAGCCCGACTTGGGGAGATCATCTGCGGCACTTACAGATAGTGTTTGAGATCCTACGGAAGCACCAGTACTATGTTAAGGCTTCCAAGTACGCTTTTAGGGTTCAGGATGTGGATTATCTGGGACATATGGTGACAGCGCAGGGGGTACGAGTATACCAGTCAAAGGTCCAAGCTATGATCGAGTGGCCCGTGCCGGCGAATGTTACTCAGCTGAGGGGTTTTCTGGATTGACCGGTTATTACAGGAAGTTCATTAAGGGGTACAGCACAATCGCCCGACCATTGACCAACTTGCTAAAGAAGGGCGGGTTTGAGTGGACCGCAGAGGCCGACTCGGCGTTTCAGGCTTTGAAGCTTGCCATGACCACGACCCCGACGTTAGCGATGCCGGATTTTTCCAAGCCTTTCGTGATATAGGCTGATGCATCGGGGAGAGGGATCAGCGTCGTTCTATCCCAAGATAAGCATCTTATCGCCTTCATGAGTCAAACTCTGGCGTCGACTAAGGAGGAGTGGTCAACCTACCAGAAAGAAATGCAGGCTATTATCTCAGCAGTGTAGACATGGCGGCCCTACTTGTTGGGGCACAAGTTTCATATCTACACGGATCATCAGAGCTTGAGGAATCTCTTGGTACAGAAGGTGTCGACCCCTGATCAGCACAAGTGGGTCTCAAAGTTGCTCAGTTATGACTATGAGATCCACTATCGACCGGGCCCGACCAATGTGGTCGCCGATGGGCTATCACGGAGCATGGGAGGAGAGATTTTGGCCGTTTTGATTGGGCCAGTAACACAGTTCTAGGAAGAATTGCGCACCCTCACGGAGACCGATTCCTATCTACGAGAATGTCGTGATATTGCAGTTAGTGAGACACCAAGTAATTATCTCTTCCGCGAAGGGCTCGTGCCCTTCAACTAACATTTGGTCCTGCTGCCTGGGTCCTCTTAGTTACGATTTATTACAGGAGTTCCATGATTCTCAATTTGGCGGTCATTCGGGAGTGGAGAGGACACTCCGCAAGATTCGGGCGCAGTTTTATTGGCCCAAGATGGGTCAAAGTGTTAAGGATTATGTTGCATCTTGTGATACCTTGCAGAGAGTTAAGGCATCTCAATTGTGACCTGCCGGCCTTCTATAGCCGCTGCCGGTACCGGAACGCGTATGGGAGGATATTAGCATGGATTTTATTGCTGGTCTACCCTCGTCCGGCGGAAAGATGGTGTTGTTCGTGGTGGTTGATTGACTCACGAAGTATGCTCACTCGGTGGCCTTAGCTCATCCCTATACAGCAAAGGTCGTGGCCGAGCAGTTCGTGAGTGGGGTGGTGAGACACCATGGATTTCCTCAAACCATCGTCAGTGATCGGGATTCGCTCTTCTTGAGCCATTTCTGGCAAGAGGTGTTCGCTATGGTCCGCACGGCACTGCTGATGAGGTCACCTTACCACCCACAGACGGACGGCCAGACTGAGGTGGTTAACTTGCATTTGGAGCAGTACCTTCGCTGTTTCGTGCATCAGCAGCCTCGGAGCTGGTTGGCCCTGCTACCTTAGGCGGAGTTGTGGTATACTTCCACATATCATCGGGCGATTATGACCACCCCTTTCGAGGCATTGTACGGTCGGCTGCCACCTTCCTTGGTCCGCTACAGAGATGGCACCAGCACGGTTGACGCTGTAGACCGCTGGTTGGGTGCTCGCGATTCGGCGATAGAGCAACTGCAAGTTAACTTGGCGGCGGCTAATAATCGGATGAAGCAGTTTGCTGATCTGAACCGGCGCTAGGAAGAGTTTGAGGTTGGAGATTTAGTGCTGCTTCGTCTCCATCCTTACTGCCAGGCGTCCGTTTTCCAGAGAGCTTACCAGAAGCTAGCAGCGCGGTACTTTGGACCGTACGAGGTTATACAGAAGGTTAATCCGGTTGCTTATAGGCTGCAGCTGCCGGCAGATGCGCGCATTCATCCGACATTTCACATTTCCTTGTTGAAGCGCTATAAAGGCCGAGCGAATCGGGTCGAGACTACCGCACCGCCAGTGAGTGCAGATGGCGACTTGGAGCTGACACCGTTGCAGATATTAGAGACCCGGTGGACTAAGCGTGGAAAGCGGCTGGTTGAGGAAAGCTTGGTTCAGTGGAAGCACGTGGAACGGGAGGATGCGAAGTGGGAGGAGACAGCCACCCTTCAACAGCGCTACCCCAACTTCGACCTTGAGGGCAAGGTCGTTCTTGAAAAGGAAGGGGATAATAGAAACCCGAGTTAGTGGACCGGGTTGAGGGGCCGCATGGGTCGGGCAATAGGGCCCGTTTGTTATTTACTTAAGGGTTCAGGGGAACACTATTACGATTAAGCAATTATTATCAATAAACTCTACAATCCCTAATCCCTATTTCTTTCTCAATTCCCAAATCCCTTCACGGGAGATTATAGTATCTATCAGTTGGTTGCAAGGGATGCCAGTTCCACAGAGTTATTAAGGAATGTCATGATCAAGCCGGTGATTTTTTCAAGGTTTTTGTCTATTCATTCTCTTATTACATTTTATGAGTCAATTGAAGTTTATGATATTTTGTGCTTGATGAAGAACTCTGATAATAAGCACCGGTTTATGATTTGATCCTCTAGCAAAGCATGAATCCTTGTTTCTCAGTCCCTTCATAGTGTCTAGTTCTAGTATTAATGACCTAAGCCACTAGCTAACAAGGGAGTCATTCAGTTACAACTGTCTTCATCATGTATTCATGGTTCTAGTCTTATGTTCTTTTGAGTCACGGAACTGCTTTTAGGCTTCAAATTGCGGTATGGATTATAGTTTTTGGTTCTGTAGAGTGTTTTTTTTATATCATAGTCAGATGGAATAGTAGACTGATATGATTACAATGGATAAAAATAACGCCAGTCGATACTAATCAAACTGGCGATGAAAGACTATTTATGCCACTAAATGGGCAGCTCTGTTAGTTCCTAAAAATAAAGAGACAAGGAAGCTTTGTCACGATCTGAAATGTGGATGCAACTAAATCTATACCAGCAGCACCACCTGCAACGCTGCAAAATAAAGAAAACTAAGACCTAGACAGGCCCATATCACTAAAGAGCTCAAATATTCAAATAAGAATTGAGAATTGATTCTCGACAAATCCTAAAAGAGCTCTAATAGTCGAAATTGCACAAATAAGAAAAGAAACTACGACTTAAGCTCTCCCTGGTACCAGCTAGGATCTACCGGGACACATATGGTGAATTGAATTAGCCCATTACACCAAAAGCCCAAGGAAGAAGGCATTCTGAAACAATATACCTGCAAAACAAACAAAGAGAAAGCCACAAGCCAAAAGCTTAAGAAAAAGGCCCATCAAGCCCATCAATACGAACGGATAAGCCCATGAGAGTGGCCCCATGTCCCAACATTGATTTTTCTTTTATCTACACATAATATAATACACCGAAGGGAAAAACGGGAGCCCCATTTCAAATTTCCTGCAACGAGAGTGAAAGTAGGAAGGACATTTTGGTCTTCACACTTACTTTTTTTAATTCATAAAAAAAACACATAGTGGGATTCGAACCATGACCATTTTAAGGAAAAGTAAAGATCATAACCAATCACACTAAGTACATTTGTTGTATCTTTTTAAATTAAAAAGATATAATAGCAGAGAGGAAAAAACCCTTCCCCCATTTCAAATTTCCTGCTCCAGGAGCGTTTGTAGGAATGATAGAATAGGGAGTGTCAATTTTTTCCTCTTTCCTCTGTGGAACGGGCCAACTTACCGTACACATGCGGATTTAAACGGGTTCAAGAGTGTCGATTTTTTCATTAAGCCCTTTTATTTCTCCGTGGTGATAAAATATATATGAAGAGGCAAAAACAATACTTCTTTTTATTGCTAAAAATAAAAAATTTAACAATAAACTAATACATGGTATCTAATGGGCTAACCGCTAACCATAAAATAAAAAAGTTGAATTGGTTTGACCTACACGGGATTTGGACATCAAGTAAAACAAATGAACATCATTGGTTTGACATTCTAAAACAAGCTATTTTGTCTGGCATAATATATTATGCTATTATTTTATATCTTAGTGGCTAAAATATAATGTATTTTAAAGTTATTCAATGGTTCAACCTCGA